TCCTTTCTTGACATTCAAATCCTCCTACAAGTGCAGTAGTATGTAGCTTGTTGGGTTGTTCCTGACAACCCAATCATACAACACAATCAAGCCACTCCCTGCCTCATCCGTGGTTCTAATTTGCAATGATCTTAAATGCCTTTCTTTGCAATTTTTCATGCCTACGGAGGAAAAAAAAAAATGAGTTGCCTGTGAAACAGCATGCTAGGCTGGAGTTGAATCAGGCTTTCACAGTTGTAAAAAATCTAATGTTAAAAGATCTCCTTCCTGGGTACTAGGGACCAAGGTGAATGCATGGATTGATGTGGGACATTTATTCTCACTACATCTTCAAAAAGCAGGTGTTAGAACTGTGGCTGTTTTATAGAGCTAAAAATTAAGGCACAAAGTAGTCAAGTGGCTGGTCCAAGGTCATCTATTGGTCAGTGAATGGAACCCAACTTTGAACAGGGTTTTCTGACCTGCATCCCTAGTCCCGCCTGTCACAGCTACCCCTGTGATCACTGGGATGGCAATATTGTGGTTTCCATTTTCTTTGTAAAGTTCCCCTGATGGTCACCAAGCTAAGCCAAGCCATTTCATCATCCTTGCTTTTGCTGCTGCTGCTACTGTTTGGTTTGGTTTGGTGGGTGGGCTGATGTTTGAGCAGTTGGGTGGTTAGCTGACGGCTGACTAGGTGCTTGCTTGGTGGTTGAGTGATTGATTGGTGGAGTGGGTAGTTGAGTGGTAGGTGGGTGGTTGATGGTTGGTTGGTAATTAGGTGCTTGACTGCTGGTTGGTTGGTTATTTTGTCTAGATCCCGTGTTAAGCATCTTCAAGTCCAGGATCTCATTTTATCTTCCTAATAAAGCTGTGACATACAGGCAGATAATTATTGTACTATAAAAGTTCACACAAGACCTTAAGTCACGTTGCTAATTAGAACAAAAAGCCTGCATTACCCATAGCCATAGACAAGGCTCTTCTAACACAAGAGAACCTACTCAATCAGCCTCAAATATCCACCAAGATATTCCAAGGGAGAAGGCAGGGTTCCTAATAACACGGGGCAGCTAGATGGTTGGGGAGCTGGATAGAAGGGGAGGAGACACAGCAAGATTGCTTCCTATTCTGTGTGGTGTTGCCTTGCAAGGTCCTAACCTTCAGGCAACAGGGACAGAAGGAAAACCATCTTCCCTCCCTAGCCCCATCTGAAGATTGATGAGATAGCCGCAGCCAAGCGCTTTGAAGACAAGGGCTGGAGGAAACCCCGCCCCCCCTGGGGTTGGATGACTTCCCAGGGGGGACTTCAGTTGAGAAAAGAGATGATGAATGGGTCTGTTCAGGTGGCTGGGAAGTTTGGGGTTAGAAAGTAATTGTTGCCCCAAATATGCCTCCTGGTATTGCTGCTAAAAAAAATCACCTTACTCTACTCCCTATCAGGCACTTCTCACTTCTGCTCAGCTATCCCGTGAAGGAGAGGAAACTGGTATGGTGTCCTCCGGATGGGCCCATTGGCTGTGCCCGCAGCCAAGTTGCTGGACCAGGTCCCTGGCTGGTCTGCTGGCTGTCTCACTTCCTTTCTTTGTTTCAAAGCGTGCCAGGATGAGTGGGGGAAGAAAGGACTTCCAGATTACAGTGGGGTGTTTTTTTTGTTTTTTTTTTTTTTTTTTGTGACAATGCCCATTTTGGAACCTGGAACCAAATGTGTGCCAAATCCACTTTCTGGCGGAGGAGGTGGAGGAGGGACCTTTTGATTCCCTCAAGTCACAGGAAATCCACAATTTAGTCTCGAGTAATAAAAACGGCATGTGTAATCGCTAGGACCACGGAGGGTCTACCCAAATGAAGGATTTTTATGGCTGGCGGTTATATTAAATCTTTTCAGCAATTTTAAGAAAGGATTTGAAATATGTCAAACTTATTTCTTTACCTTTTTTTTTTCAAGTGGGAGGTTTTATTGCCTGGAGTCGCAGCATCAGAAGAAAAAAAATGGCTTTTGGTTCATCCAGCCCTCACCCCTGCCAATGTCGTCTCTCTCCCTTCAGGACCCAAAGGCCTGGTATTATGCTGTCTAAAATCAGCCTCTTCCAATTAAAATGAAAGTCATAAAGCAAAGAATGCCAGTAATTTACAATCATAATAATCTCGGAGTTATAGAGTACATCTAGCCAAGAAACCCAAGTGAGTTCACATTTTTATTATTATTATTATTTCTCTCACCTGGAAACAACAACTTAAAGCCCCCTGGCCAAGTCTCAGGGAACCCTCATTAGCTTACATATTTATAGAGTCAGTGAGTATGTGTGCATGCCTGGATGTGTTGTGTATGTGTGTGTGTGTGTGCGCGCGCGCGCTGGGAGGGAGGGAGAGAGGGAGAGAAGGAAGTGTCCGTTAGCCGGTGTTTCCTGTCTCAGACTTAGAGCTGGGGCCCATTAGGCCAAACACGACCAAGATCCCCCTTCAGAGAGAGCACGTGTGGGTTGTTCAGGGGTGGGGCACCAGGGTACTACATGTCAGTCACAGGGTGGGGGTAGCCTAGGCTACATCCCCAAATGGGCAGGTGGCAGCTCACAGCAAGGAGAGGAAGCAGAGGGCAGAGAGGGGCCAGGCAGAGAGGGGCCAGCCAGTCTCTGGGCTGGTGTTGTGTGCACACGCAGGTTGTTTCCGAACCAGCTCCCTAAGAACGTGCCTGACGTGCCTGGGAAGGCAATGAAAGATGGCCTGAGGGTCTCGGCTCCTGCCACTCACCCTGGGTGAGTTGATGGAGTTCCACATTCCAGGCTTTCGCTTGGCCCAGCCCTGGTAGGTGTGAGCAGCTGAGGAATGACCCAGTGAATGGAGGATGTCTCTCTTTGTAACTCTGCCTTTCAAATAAGTAAATAAATGCATATTTTAAAAGAGTGGGAGCGGGGAGTGGAAATCCTAAGCAGGTCAGGTTACTAGACAGCAAAGAGGGGCCAAGTTTGCTATTTTTTTGTTTGTTTGTTTTGAAGTTCATTTATTTTACTTGAAAGTCAGAGTTAGAGAGAGAGAGTTAGAGAGACAGAAAGCTCTTCTATCTGTTGGTTTACTTTCCAAAGGCACAATGGCCAGACAAGAACTGGTGTGAAGTTAGGGTCCAGGAGCTTCTTCTGGGTCTCCCACGTGGGTGCAGGGACCCAAGGATCTGGTTATACTCTGCTGCTTTCCCAGGGAGTTGGATCAGAAGTGGAGCATCCAGGATTCGAACCAACACCCACATGGAGTGCTGGCACCACAGATGACTAGCCTGTTGAGCCACCACATTGACTCTACTTGCTTTTTGTATACAACCTGTTCTTGGGGAGAGCTAATTTGCCCCGGCGACCTGCATCAGCTCCTTCCAAGCCCAGCAAATTCTGTGATCACCTGCCCCTAAGCCCCACCTCTTAAAGGTCCCACTGTCTCTTCAAGGATCCAGCACAGGAGGCTTTGGGGCACCCAAACCTGCCTGAATACCTGGACCTGGCTGTCCCAAAGCTCCAGCAGGAGACCTAAGTGCATGTTCCATACCACAGGAGGTGAAGGTGATGGTGGTGGAGGTGATGATGAAGGCAGTGGAGGTGGTGTGGACTTTTCCAGGTGTGAAAAAAAACACAGTTTTTGAAGCTCCTTGGATCAGAATCTCTTGCTTTTCTAATGCACAAAAAAAGTTGCATATATTATAAGGTGACTAACGAGCAATCCTAATGGAATAAACATGTGGCAACACAGGCTGCTGAGAATTCAAGGAAGCACTGAGGTATTCCAGAAAGATCCGCATGTGAGCCAACCACGGACAAGTTAACATGAAGGTACACACTGAGGGCCACTCAGAGAACCCCTGGTGTCCAACAGTGACCCAGGGACCACACCTGTGCGTGAGAGATACCCAGCATCGGAGCAGGCACAGGGGTGCAGCCCTATTGGAGCTCCTCTTCCCTTCCAGCTCCCTGCTTGTGGCCTGGCAATGCAGAGAAGATGGCTTAAAGCCCTGGGACCCTGTACCCATGCAGGAGACCCAGAAGAAGCTCCTGGCTCTGGATCAGCTCAGCTCCAGCCGCTGTGTTCATTTAGGGAGTAAACTAGCAGATGATCATCTCTCTCTGTCTCTCCTTCTCCCTGCAACTCTTTCAAATAAAAACAAGTCTTTAAAAAAGTTAAAGCATATTCCATACACATGTGTGTATACTTGAATGTCAGTGTATATTTTACCGAAAGCATAATACCCAGCAATGACACTTCCTAAGTGTTTAACCAAGAGAAAGCCTAGGGGCCGGTGCTGTGGCACAATGCGTTAAGCCACCATTTGGGACTCCAGCATCCCATTTGATTCTTGGCTGCCCCATTTCCCACCCTGTTTGGGACATAGGGCTAAGTTCCTCCCATGGCAGGCCCCTGGGCCTAGCTACCCCTGGGCATCCCCGACCGTTCCCATCCATCCTCACGATGCCCAAATTTCCAGAGGTCAGCGAATCCCAGAAGCCCCAGCTTTCCTTGGATCTGAGGGGAGCACGCGGACCTGGGTCTCTGCTCCCAGTAATCTCATATATTTCTGCGAAGGCTGCAGACTGCGTCTCAAGCTTCGGCCCAAACAGGGGCAGAGGGACCCTTGAGCAAGCTGTTCGGGATCTCAATAGAACAGGGATATGGAAGATGAATCCCCCCACGAGCAAAAAGGGAAAAAAAAAGTATGGAGAAAATCACGGAAGGTCCCAGGCTAGGTTACCAGGCATTCTCGCCGGGAGTCGATTTAGCGCTCTCTTTCCAGCGGGATGCAGTCCTTCTCGCACTTCCAGCCTCTCCAATGCCCAGCTCTGACCCTCTGGTGGGCTCGGGATGGCGGGGTGCAAGGTGCAGGGACTGGCCGCCTCCTTCGGCCCTGGCCCTGGCCCGCCAACCTTCCCGCCCCTGCGTGCCCCGGAAGTAATCGCACCCCGTCGCCTTGGAAACGTAGCAGCCAATCGGCGCGGCGAAGGGCGCGCTCGCCTTGCCGACCCTTGGGGCGCTGTGGGCTCTGGCGGGCTCAGAGACAGCTCTAAAACCAGGATGCTCAAAGCCAAGATTCTCTTCGTGGGGCCCTGCGAGGTGAGACCGGGGGCAGCGGGCCGCCCCTAGCGGGTCAGGAGGTGGGACCCCGGGTTCCGTGCAGGTCGCTGGCCCCCTGGGTTAATGCTGAGCAGCCCCTCGCAGATCAGGGCCTTGCTCCGGGAGCTCGCACTCCCACCCTTGTGAGGTAGGACCCCAGGTTTTGTGCAGGTCATCGTGCATTTTTACCGTGGTGGCCTCCGGAAGACCCCCTCCCCCACCTCCACCCCTCCGCCCCGTGCCCTGATGTTGAGTGGGGCTTCTGGTTTTGGACCACTCTCTTTGGCTCCCCAACTTGGTGCCTAAGGAATGTTTCTCTGGGACTTGCGGGGGATTTTTGCTCAATGGGCTTGGAGCTGTGAAGGTGTATGGTGGTGGAAATGTCCGGAGCGGGGAGCTGGAAGGGATGGGCATGGACGTGGCGGTGATGACGCTGTTTGGGGTACCCCCCCGTTCTACCTCGAGCACCTTGGTTCTGGTTTCGGCTTCCTGCTTATGTGCCCCCAGGTGGCAGCAGGTGGCTCAGGTCACCCACACTGTCCAGCTCCTGGACCATACCGTGCCGGTGGGAGTGCCATGGGTCCACTCTGCGATGGGGTGGAGACGTGGCCTGTCCACTGGCTCACCTGTGCAGGAGTGGGGAAGGGGCTCTCCAGCCGAACCTGGCCCTCCCACCTTCTCCTTTGTACAGAGTGGGAAGACAGTTTTGGCCAACTTCCTATCCGAATCCTCTGACATTACCGAATACAACCCAACACAGGGAGTGAGGTGAGCCCTGGGCGTCCCCCAACCCATGTTCCCCTGTGCCCCCTCCTGGCATTGCTGGCCTTGTCAGAGTGTGTCATCCCCTGAGACGGGCGCCGCCACCATTGCTGTCTGTGCTTCCAGAATTGTGGAGTTCGAGAAGCCGCAGATCAGCAGCAACAGCCAAGGCCCCGGCTGCGAATTCGAGCTCTGGGACTGTGGCGGCGACAGAAAGTATGTGCCATCTCTCTCTCTTTTCACATTTTAAAAATATATTTATTTTCATTGGAAAGTCAGATATACAGAGAGGAGGAGAGAGAGAGAGAGGAAGATCTTCCACCGGCTGATTCACTCTCCAAACAGCCGCAAATACTGGAGCTGAGCTGATCCAAAGCCAGGAGCTTCTTCTTAGTCTTCCACATGGGTGCGGGGTCCCAAGGCTTTGGGCTATCCTCGACTGCTTTTCCAGGCCACAAGCAAGAAGCTAGAAGGGAAGTGGAGCAGCCAGGACACGAACCAGCACCCATACAGGATCCTGGCATGTGCAAGGCAGTAGGCTACTGTACCATGCCCTATTTTTCAAGTTTTAAAAATTTGTTTGTTAGGCAAAGTGACAGAGGAGGGAGAAAGAGAAAGATCAGTCTTGTGTCTGCTGGTCACTCCCCCGATGACCAAGGCTGGGCTGGGCCAGGCTGAAGCCAGTCACCTGGAACTCCATCAAGATCTGCTACACAGATGCAGGGACCCAAGGATTTGGACTATCCTTCACTGCTTTCCTAGGTGCATTAGCAGGGAGCTGGATAGGAAGCAGAGCAGCCGGGATTTGAACTGGCACTCATATGGGTTGGCAGCGCTAACAGGGGGAGGATTAGCCTACCATGCCATGCTGCCAGCCTTGGCTTGGGCATCCCAACGATTAGGGCAAACACCTGCCTCATGCCTTGTTCTTTTGCACAATTCAATGCTTGGTTCCACTCCCAACTCCAGTGTTGTATACCTAGGAAAGCTGCTGCTGGTGGCTTATGGATGGGGGTCCCTGCCACCCAGCCGGGAGATCCAGAAGCAATTCCCGTCTTCTGGCTCCAGCCCAGCCCAATCACACTGCAGGTGTCTGGGGAGTGGACCAGCAGGGGAGGCCTCTCTTGCTGCCTCTTCTTTCTCTCTCATGTTGGAAGTCACCGATTCAGAACCTGCCTGAGCATTCCCACCCCCGGCCCCTCCCTGACCCACAGGTTCGAGTCCTGCTGGCCGGCCCTGATGAAGGACGCGCAGGGAGTGGTGATCGTGTTCAACGCTGACGTGCCAAGCCACCTGAAGGAGCTCGAGATGTGGCATTCCTGTTTCGTGCAGCCTCTACTCCTGCAGGACGCCCAGTGCCTGCTGATCGCACACCACAAGCCGGGCTCCGCGGCTGGCAGGGGGAGCCTGAGCCTGGGTGAGCGCCTGGTGTAGGGGTGGGGCGAGGGGGATGCCTTCCTTTTAACCTCCTTTGCCCATGCGTGTTCCCCACACTTTGGTCTTGCCATGTGTCATGGAAGGCAGCAGCGGGTGATGTGTGGTTCCTAAGCACCCACTGTGTCCTGGGTGCTTGTGTTTTTTCACTGTGTATCTTGGGATCACCAAGTCGGGAGAGATGCAACCCAGGCCTGAATACGGATGCCTTAAAGACCGGCTGTCGCGGGGCTGGCTCTGTAACTCAGAGGGTTGAGCCACTCCTGTGCCACCAGCATCCATATGAGTGCTTACTTGACCCCGACTTCTCCAGTGTGGATCCAGCTCCCTGTCCATGAACTTGGGAAGGCCAGGGAATATGGCCCCTGTAAATATGTCCCCTGTCCCTCACGTGGGAGACCTGGATGGAGTTCCTGGCTCCTGGCTTCGGCCTGGTCCAGTCCTCATTGGGGAGTGAACTGGTGGATGCAAGATCTGCCTCTCTCTCTCTCTTTAAATATTTATTTATTTTTTTTGGAAAGTCAAATTTGCAGAGAGAAGGAGAGACAGAGAGAAAGATCTTCCATCCAATGATGCACTCCCCAAGTAGCAGCAGTGGCCGGAGCTGAGCCGATCCAAAGCCAGGGGCCAGGAGCTTCTTCTGGGTCTTGCACATGGGTACAGGGTCTCAAGGCTTTGGGCTGTCCTTCACTGCTTTCCCAGGCCACAGGCAGGGAGCTGGGAGGGAAGTGGAGCAGCTAGGATACAAATTGGCACCTGTATGGGATCCTGGTACATGCCAAGGCAAGGACTTTAGTCAGTAGGCTAAAGTGCCGGGCCCTCTCTCTGTGTGTAACTTTACTTTTCAAATCAGCAATCCGTCTTTTGAAAACGTAGACACTACGAAGGAGAGCCAGCTTGCTGTGACTTCCACTGGCACAGGGTAGAGAGGGATGGTGCTTCTTGCTCGAAAAAAAACCCACAAATCACACGGGACACACACACACACACACACACACACACACACACACACACACACACGTCAGGTGACTTAAAAGACAAAAGCTGGGATGATGTGCTCGTTTCCCTCCCACTGGAGGTGCACCTGAGGACACTTTGCAGAACTTTGTAGAACTCTAGACCTGGCCATCTGTGGCTCTCCCTGACGGGGCGCCCTAACTAGATCCCTGTTTTCCCTTGGCAGCGCCGCCCCTGAACAAGCTGAAGCTGGTACATTCCAACCTGGAGGAGGACCCCGAGGAGATCCGGGCGGAATTCGTCAAGTATCTAAAAGGCATCGCGAGCTCAGTGTCCGAGAGCAGGGACCGCGAGGAGATGTCCATCATCACGTGACTGCCACCCAGGTCCAGAGCCCACACACCACTGGCAGCTCCCCCCACAACCCGCTCCTCCACTAACCTGCCCCCTGGGCCGCTGGCCAGGCATCCCCTGACATGCTGCCCCAGGAGTAGACCGCTCCCCTTAGCTCAGGAGAGGATACCCGTGGTTCCAGGCCTTTCCAAGGAGCTGGGATTTCACCACCCCAAGAACTTCTCCTTCCTCCAGCTATAAAAAGTGTGGAACTTTTTTTTAAAGATATTTTTATTGGAAAGTCAGATATACAGAGAGGAGGCGAGACAGAGAGGACGATCTTCCATCCAATGATTCACTCCCCAAGTAGCAGCAATGGCTGATCCAAAGCTAGGAGCCAGGAGCTTCTTCAGGATTTTGCACATGGATGCAGAGTCCCAAGGCTTTGGGGTTGTCCTTGACCGCTTTCCCAGGCCACAAGCAGGGAGCTGAATGGGAAGCAGGGCCGCTGGGATTAGAACCGGCGCCCATATGGGATCCCAGCACATTCAAGGCGAGGACTAGTCTCAGGTGCTGCCTTCACCCCCAGATGGGAGCAGGCTGGTTCTGGAATGCGCTGGCGGGGGTGGCTTGGGGCCTCTGCATCGCCCATCACACAGGTCAGCAGCCATGGCCACTCGGTCCGTCACACCTCCTTGCTCAGCTTCCCAGCTGTGGACGAGTGGCTCAGCCACAGGTTCTCCTCCAGCCCCAGGCATTGTGCCAGAACGCCGTGGAGTTGGTGTATTTTATTAAATTTTTAAAAGACCTATTTATTTGAAAGGCAGAGCAAGATGGTGTTCCGAAGTGCATGAAGACTTGGAGGTGGCCTTGGTCCTAGTGTGAGCCAGAGAGAGAGACACCACACACACACGCCCCACCCAAGTACGTGGGAGGCGAACTGCGTGTCTAAGGGGACCCGAACGTCTCCATCTTCCCCTCCCTGGCATGCCCGACTTCTGGCAGGAAGTGTCCGGTGGCCACGTGTGGTCAAGACAGGCAAGTCCCCCCGCCAGAGGACTACATTTCCCAGAGTTCTCGGGGAACGCGCCGCCCGCACTTCCCAGGGGGCTGTGCGACGTCCACTCTAGCCGGGAGCGTCGGTGGAAAAAGAAAAGTTCACAAGAGAGGCGTGCTCCCTTCAAGTCGCTCCTCAACCGAATGCCCAACTCTCGCCTTCTCTGTTTCGTCTTTTCAGACGTCCACTCTTCAGTCTGCGCGCTTCCGGAGTCCCAAGGAACCTGGAGCCCGTCTCCTTGGCAACCACACTCCGGGAAGAGGAGAGGGAGATACAGGAAGTGACGTTTCACAGCATGATGGGAAATGTAGTTGAGCCTGTCCGCGCATCCCCCAGACCAGGGTCCGAGAAGCGGACGAGGAGGTCTTTCTCTGTAACTATGCCTTTCAAATAATAAAGAAATAAAAAGAAATTCTTTTGGGCAGACGCTTGGCTCAGGAACCCCACATCCCACAAGGGGGTGCCCGAGTGGACCCCCTGCTCCATATGGCATCCATATGAGATCCTGGTGCTTGCAAGGTGAGGACTTTAGCCACTGGGCCACCATGCCAGGCCCTCTTACAAGGATGTAATGTTTAATCTTTTATACAAAAAACCATATAGGTGCTGGTTCATGTCCCTCTTGCTCCACTTCTAGTCCAGCTCCCTGCCTGTGGCCTAAGAAGCAGCTAAGGGATGACTAAGGCCTTGGGACCCTCCACCTGCCTGGGAGACTATGAAGAAGCTCCTGGCTTCAGATCAGCTCAGATCTGGCTGTTGCAGCCATTTGGGGAGTGAGCCAGTGGGTGGAAGATCTGTCTTGTCTCTTGTCTCTACAAAAATTTGGGTTTTTTATGTTTTAAAGAAAATACATTGTAGGACCTTCAGAACCTTCAGACCTCTCAGGTCTGGCATAATGGCTCAGTGGCTGAATCTTTGTGTTGCATGTGCCTGGATCCCATATGGATACTGGTTTGTGACCTGGCTGCTCCACTTCCCATCAAGCTCTCTGCTTATGGCCTGGGAAAGCAGTTGAGGATGCCTTAAAGCCTTGGGACCCACGTGGGAGACCTGAAGACACTCCTGGCTCCTGGCTTCAGATTAGCAGATTCAGCCGCTTGGAGAGTGCACTGGTATATGGAAGATCTTTCTGTCTCTGTAAAATCTGACTTTCCAATAAAACAAAAATGAAACAAAACCATATATATATACAGTGGGACCTTAAGAACTAGTTTCTTTTAAATGTGTGCGTGTGTGTTTCATATATTAAAAGGGAGAGTAACAGATAAAGAGAGAGGATCTTCCATCTGTTGGTTCACTCCCAGATGGCCACAGCAGCTAGTTCTAGTCCAGGCTGAAGTGAAGAGTCTCGAACTCCCTCCAGGTCTCCCACGCGGGCGGCAGGGGCCCAAGCACTCGGGCCGTCCTCTGCTGCCTCACAGGTGCATTAGCAGGGAGCTGGATGGGAGGCAGAGCAACCGGGACTCGAACCAGTGCCCGTATGGGATGTGCCCATATTGGAGGTGAAGGATCAGGCAGCTGAGGCCCCGCAGATTTATTTAATCCTAAAATTGAAGCACATTCATTGTGGAACTTTCAGAAAATGCAATTATACCGAAAAGAGTAATAAAAGCAATCCACCCCGTGTGTGTGTGTGTGTGTGTGTGTGTGATGACCTGCTGTGGATAAATGTGGAATCCTGTACTGTGCTTCTCCAGCCTCCTGTTTGTGGCTGTGTTTTAGGTTGTGTGTCTGTCTCTGTCTGCCGGGGTGGGCATGGGTGCTGGCTTCTCCCCTCATCCTCACAGGAAACAGGCTATCCTAACTGGTGACGGGCGGTGACAACAAGACTCAGGACAGACCAACTCTTTGGGAACCCCTCCCTCAAGCCGGGGCCTTCACGGCTGGGAGCACCCACGGCTGGGAGAGTGTTGCACCTACAGGTAGCACCAGAGGGCATCCCGGGAGAGGCTGATCAGCTCCTACGAGGTGGGCAGGGTGAGTCCTGGTCCCATCAGACACTGCCCTTCCTCGGAGTAGGACAGTCCCCAAGTAGAAAAGCCCTCTCTCTCTGGCAAGGACAGGCTGGCTCTGCAGGAGAGAAGCTGCCCGAGGCCAGGGACGCCCTGGTGGCTGGAGATGGGCAGTGCTCCTGCCAGGTTTACACGGCTCCTGGAAGCAGCAGGTGCACCGGGAAGTGGCACGGGCAGGAAGCCATGGCCTGTGTGCCACTTGCCTCCCTGGGCATGGGTCTGACCCGAGGGAGCGTGGGTGTGGCTTTGCCCCCAGAGTCTTTGACTTGAGCCCCCGGCTTGCAGTTACACCCGGGCAAGTTGACTTCTCGAGGCCCGGTCTGTGTGTTTCTAACGCAGGGCCAGCCAGCCTGGAGAGTGGCAGCGTGTTGACCAAGCGTCTTGCTTATTTGGGTGCTTCCTGTTTGTCACATCACACTCTTGGGGGTTCCAGCATCACAGGCAGCCTCTGCCCCCAAGTATCGCGGGGCTGCTGAGCTGGCAGGGCCTGAAGGACAGCATAGGGCGCCCCTCTGGAGACCTGAACCCCATCTCAAGATGCCTTGTCCTGCCCTGCCCAGCTTTGAGGTCAGCCCGGTTGGTTGGGAGCAGGGAACGCGGGCAGCACCTGAGTGTCCTATCTGCCTGTTTCCCGTTTCCCAGGCGTGTCCGGGAGGCTCACGGACGCCCTGCGGCCCCAGCCCAGCTGACTTGGCTTGCTGGAGGACCTGGAGGAGGTGAGCCCGGCTGCACGCCTGACTGCGTCGGCAGCAGTACCTCCGCAGGCCACGGGAGGGCAGTGTAGGCTCACGAACCTCGCCTTGAGCCTGGTGCCAAGAGTAGCCTGTACCTGCTAGGGGTCCTGCAAGGCCCAGCAAGGTGTCTGGTCCCAGAGCTAGGAAGTCCCTCAGAGACAGGCTCTGCTGCTCACCCTGTTGTTCACAGCGCCTCCCGAACCCTTCGCACAGATCTCCCTTCGGGGTTTTCCTCTGGGTGCCTGGGTGGGGCCTGAGGACACCTGCAAGCCCTGTAACCCTGCTTTCCTCAGGGGCCACTGGGGTTCTTGAGTGCTGGCCCTTTCAGAGCCCGGGTCACTTGGCCCCTAGGAGCTCCAGCATGGAGTCAAGATGCCCCAAGCACAGATGGGTCGGCATGAAGGTTGAGTAAGTGCACTGAGCTCTGGTCCCCTGAGTCCTTGCGTGCAACAGACGCCAAGCCCTTTGTCTTCTTCCCTCCCAGGCCCTTGCCGATCACCCAGTGCCTCCCTCCATCCCCTAAGCCCAGGCCCCGCTCCTGGGGTCACACCCCTCTCTCTGCAAGGCAGGTGTGATGGCTTCTTTCTGTTCCACCAAGTCTGGGGTGGCCAGCGTGGCTGCAGATGACTGGCATGCTGTGCCCGGGACTCTGGAGCCAAGGGCTGGGTTCCTCCCCACCACTCATGGCAGTGATGCCATCAAGCCTGTCCTTGTCACCCACGAGTCTGCCCCCTGCCCCATCCTCCCATGGTCTCACTCCAGCAGCTGGCCGGGCTCCAAGAGGCCACAGGCCCTCTAGCATGTGGCCTTGTCTTCCAGGGAGTGTCCTGTGGCCACAGCCATCTCCTCTCCTTATTGTTCCTTCCCCTACTGCTCCCCCAAATCCTCCACCCTTTCTGCCTTCAGACAAAGCTGGGAGCCCGAAATGTCCCCAGTCAGGATTGCTGAATCACTTTTGTCTCAATGAAAGCGTTAGGGTGGTGGGCAAGGATGTCTTCACTGGGTTTATGTCCAAGTCAGGACGACGGGAGAGGTTGGGAGGGGCGGGAGCCATGGCAGCAGGGACAAGGATGCGAGAAAGCTTTCTGCTGGCCCGGCTTCGAGTGAGCCTGGAGTTCGTCGGGCACCTTCGACCCAACAGAATGTTCTCCCTGTTTTCCAGCCCTCGTCCCTGGAACTCGGATTTGTTGGCTGATGTGGGAGAGCGGGGGACCCACCCGTCGCGGTATCATAGTTACCAGCTAATGAAACCATGCACAGCCCCTCCCTGGGCAGCTTTCACACTGGACAGAGTCCTGTCCCCAGGGGCCAGGGCCAGAGCCAGCATGGCCGCGGTGTCTGCCCCACGGCCGCTGTTTCAGCCAGCAGGTCTGGAAGACTTTAGGAAGCAGCTTGGGATTCCTAAGAGAAGCAGAGA